CGGGGGTGCTCAGGCGGCTGAAGGTCACTGCCGGAACCAGCGCTTCGCCACCCTCTCCGCGGCCCCGTGAGCCTGTGGAAATCGCCCTGTCCCCGGCGAAGCGCTGGCGCAGATGACGCAAAAAAGGCTTGTTTGGAGTGTCCGGAGCGGCGGGGGGGGAAAAGGGGGAGTCCACTCCGCGCTGCCCTTCCTGGCGTGCAGGTGAGCCGCTTCCACCCCCTGCCCTGGGCCGGTGCGTGTGGTTGGGACACGGAGTTACTTCGGGATAGTTTTGTTCGCAAGAGGAAGGAGAGGAGGGATCGTTTCGGGAGAAATCCTCTTTCCAGTTCTTTCCACTTTCACCCTCTGCCCGCTTATAAAGGGCAGCGGAGTTTGTATAATAAATTCCTGAAACACTTCCACCCGCATCGTAGACCTCCAGTACAAAGTGGATGGTCTCTGCTTCCATGAATTTGTGATCCAAAAAGTAACCAAAACAATAGTCGTGAACTGAGAGAGGGAAGGCAGTTGTAGCAGTTTTTTAAAACTTCTTCCTTTTGCAGTGATGCTCGTTTGGCTCACCACGGTGCCTGCACAGTCACAGGCAGGGTAACAGCTCACCGGGGGAGCTTTAGTTGCTTGCCTGTGTTCCAGCTCCACAGAGCCACTTGCACATGCAGCCTGTTGGTGAATGAAGAATCAGGAGCATGAGTAGATAGTGCTGTTGGGACAACAGACATCAGCATATCATTTCAGTGTGTTTGGTTGTTTGCTGCCAGAGCAGCTATTGGTATTTCTCAAGTGAAGCAAAATAATCAGTTACTCAAAAAATCATTTAACTTGATGCAATTAAAGTAATGCTGCACTTATTTGAAATGTCCTGTCTTCAGGATAATGGACAAGCTTTTAACTAGTACAGAACATATAACATTTTGGAAAGGATTGTTTGGTCAGAATGGCTTGCAGCTCAAAAATAATGTTGAAAAATCATTTCTCATGATGGCAGGAAGGCTGTTGATCTGTTCGTGCTGTAGGCAAGGTGCAGATTAGAAGGATTTGGAGTTATCCAAATCCAGATGTACAGTCAGAAATGCTTAGACAGAATGAGACACATTACATATCTTTTAAAGCATATAACCCTTTTATTTTTTTGTTAAAAATGCAAATCACAGGAAGATTTTAAAAAGCAGCCAGCTTGTCTTTCTTTGTAAATCATCTGTAATATTTAGTGTTCCAGTTTCTTGGCTTATCTTACATATTTAATTTAAGAAAAACAACCCTGCAAAATATGAAACAGGTTTGCAGTTAGCTCCAGTACTTACTGTTGTTGCTGCTCTCATTCATACTTGTCTAAACCATCAGCGTTTCTTTCTGGTGTAGCAGTATTGTAAATGTAAGCCAAGGAAGTTGCCAGCTGGCTTGACCCAGCATTATTAGACTCGAGTTTAGGCTAAAGGTCGCAGAAGTTCTTTATGTGAAGCATGTGTGTAAGTGGGAAAGCAGTCCTTTGCTGCAAAAAGGTGGGGGGCTTGCAAGCTTTCCCAGAGTGTCCCAGGCCTGAGGATTGGCACAGGGGCTGAAAAGGAAGAGCAACCCAGATGCCTAAACCCAGCCATATGGTGCCTGCTGCTGTCAGGAAAAGAAAGACAATTATAGACCAATTAATTGCTCTGTATCTTTTAAGCACTGGCTGGTTATGATGTAATCTGTAAAAGGCTGCAATACTATTGTGGGGTTTTTTTTACAAGGCTGTGTATTATTTTTTGCTTTATTCTGTCCAAGCAGAAAAAAATCTGTCCTTGGGATCCTGCAGTTGCTTTTGTCTTCATTTAGGACAATGATCTGTTACTGACTGATAGCTGATTTGTGGAAACGTCAAAATCTTGATGAATAGCTTTAGCACTTTCCTTACAACAAGTGGCAAACCCTTTCTAGTGTGCGCGTGGGCATTGACGTCACTCTCACTCCTCTAGGAGTTGGTGTTGCGTGATGTCCATAGAGAGTACTGAGTGGAGGACCTCAAGGCTTCAAATACATTATAGGTGGTTTCTAGGTAATGGAGCATTTAAATCTTAGCAAAAGAGGTTGACATGGATTAGTCTCAGGTGATTAGTCTGCACTCCTGCATTTTGCGTTGCGAAACCGTCACAGAAGAGTCTGGGGTCTGACTTCAGTGTTGCATTTCAGTCCTTGGTTGTAGAGGACAGCTTGAAGCAGGCTTTGTAATGATGAGGAAGTAGTGATGGGTTGCAGAGGTGAATGTGTCCATATTCTCTTGGCCTGCACAATAGTAAGCTGTTTACTTGGCAGTGAGAAGTGATGGCAAATATATGGAAGCGGTTGTTTTGTCGGGAAATGCTATAGCTGTCACAGGAAGGATGTCACAATGAAATGAGTTTCAGTATGAGCATATGAAAAGAAAGAACAATACTTTCTGGAGAAACTTTTTTCCATAATGACTGTGCTATGATCAGAAGTGAAGCACCTTAAAAAAAAATCCGATTGACTTCTGAGTGACAGAGAGGAACATGCAATGTCTTACCCTCTTCAGTACTTGTGATTGGAAAACAATGAATAAAATTCCTACCTTACCAGAGTAGTGCCTTGAGCACCACTCAGAAGTCACTTTGCAAGTTCTAATAGCAGCAGCAGCAGTAAACTTGCATAAGCAGCATCAGTAGTTAGATGACATTTCTGATTAAGCTGTCTTTTTAATCCTCTTCCAAATGCACCGTTATTTAATGTTTCTATTATGGTGATGCCATGAAGACTTAGTTAAGGTAGGATTCTTGTTGTAACTTGGAGATCACAAGTCGCACAGTAGCTCAGCTATGCTGCATAGTTGTTCTGTGCTGCATGTCAGAAGAGGTGCATAAAGCTGTCTCAAAGCCTTTTTCACTGTGTTGGGATGCTGTCTGGTCTGGTGGTTCATCTTCTGCTGTTACTGTATAGCTCCCTTTACCTCTCTTTCCCCTTTCTTCCCTCTAAAGTACAGCTGATGAAATATCATATACCCGTTCCCCTCCTTCCCCCCCCCTCCAGTTCTGGGGAAAATTGTTACCTTCATGTTCTGCTAAGATATTCATGTGGAAAGGCAAAATATCTTGTCTTTCTGTTATTCACTTTGTTACTGAAATACTAGAAGTTGCTATGGTTAGAGTCATCAATATTTCCATTTTAAATCTTTTTTGTAAACGTCTGAAACTGAGCTCAGCTAGTGTAAAACAAACAAAATCTTAAGTGGGGGAAAAACATTTCATGAACATACTCTTCCCTAATTATGAAATAGGATAGGCTCGTCCAGGGTTTGGTTATGCAATTGGGTGGGAATCTTGCCACAGTTAGGTACTGTAAAATTCTTAAATGTTGTAGTTTTAAAGGGGTTTGTTTTAATTTATTTTGAAAATTAAACTTTAAAACAAATTATTTATTCATTATGTTGAGAAAGCCTTTTGGAATCCTGTTATTGAAAACAGATAAAGTGCAAATCATTAAAGGGTATCCAGCTGTGACAGCTTCAGAGGTTAAACTGATTCACTTTCACTTGATTAGTTGTCATGCTGTCCCTTCAGAGGCATTTACAATTTCAGCTTAATTGCATGTACTTTTAATTTTCTTTTGTTTCAGACACTGTCAGCCTGCAAAATGATGATTCCACGGATTTTCATTTTCTGTAGGAAATGTGAAGATTGTGAGCTGAAGTAAAACGTGGGCAGAAATCTCTTGAGAATTTTGCCCTTTCTTCTTCTCTTCGAAGGATTATGTTTACAAGAAATTGATACCATCAAGTGACACTTTTTCGAAATAATTTAAAAAAAACAAAGAATAAAGCTGTATTTATGCTCAGAGAAAACTGGATTAACAATGAGGCCAAAGACTTTTCCTGCTACGACGTATTCTGGAAACAGCAGACAAAGGTTACAAGAGATCCGGGAAGGTTTAAAGCAGCCATCCAAATCTTCAGGTCAGGGGCTGCCTATTGGACCAGGCAGTGAAACTTCTCTGGACCCTAAGATTATAATGGGGAAGGATGCTGCAAGGCAGCAGCAGATGAGACAAACGCCCAAGTTTGGACCTTATCAGAAAGCTCTGCGAGAAATTCGATACTCTTTGCTGCCTTTTGCCAATGAGTCCAGCACTACAGCAGCCATTGAAGTAAACAGGCAGATGCTGCAGGAACTGGTGAATGCAGGTTGTGATCAGGTACGTATGAGTTTGGAGGGAGGTTGTTGTCACTGCTGTCAAAACAAGGGGATACTCAGTACTGAAGAAAGGATTTTGATGGTGGCTGTCAAAATCATAGTATCATAGAAATGCACCGATTCTTCTGGCAGTTGTGTTGCTGTATGACCAGCAGAGTAGATGGACTCACTGTGGAGAGACGTGTCTAGTATGGGGCTAATTTATGTTAAAGACAGTCATGGTGAGCTCTAGGATTCTTTTATGATTTCTCCAGTTGATGTGTAAGACTGAACAGGGGTAGTTTGTCTTTCTTTTCTTTTTTACTTCTTTTTTGTTTCTTCATTTTTCTCCACACTACTGGAACAAGTCATAGCTGTGAGTAATAGAGTTGAATTTTGTCTAGTATATCTAGGCTCAGTTCACTGTCAGAAGTAACTATCAGAAGTGACAGAGACAGTATATGGTATCTGAAGATGCTCACTTGCTGTTGGCCAGAAGCAGGTGGAACTGGCTGGATGTTCAGCAAGCAGCAGTGGTTCGGTACACACCGTTTCTTCCTACTTTCTTTGCTCTATTAAGAGGTGGTAGCCCTGCTCAGATAAGAGACTTGGAGTAGAGATGATTTTTTTTTGTCATTCTGGGTTTGATACTGGAATACACTTATTTCAAAGGCCACTCACTTGGTGCAGAACATGGTCTTTTTGTGTTGAGCTGTATTCATCTTGCTTGTGCATCCAGTATTGGTGTTAACTTCCACCTCTGTCCAGGAATAGTTCAAAATTTTGCTTTTCAGAGATGGAAGTGCTGGTTTGGGTTCAAATTCTGATTGTTGTAGGAACAGCTTTTTTCCAGTGTGTTTGAAAGGCAGTTGTTGACAAGCAGAAACATTTCCATTTATAGTCCTTGATATAAATTGGAGGGATTTAAAACCTAAGTGCTTTCAGTGGCATTTCATTGATTTCAAAACTCAACCTTCATTCACTCATGGCAGAGTGTGAGTCTCTTGACTCTCTTATACCATATTCTGGATCTGTATAACAAAACTAACATCAGGCATTATTATAAACATTGTGCATTTCCCTGGAGCTATGTAGCTACTAATTAGTGCTGTTTGTATTCCAAGGAGTTTATGCTGTGTGAGATAATCAGAGCTGGAGTAGATTGCAGATCCAATAAGAAGTGCTGGAGTACAACTAAACACTTCCTAGTCTAGTGAACCAAGATGCTGTACTGAATTATTTAACTGGAGGAACCAAGGATTTTCTCTGATCTTAAGCACACCATGAAAACACAGTGTTTTTAGAACTCTACCCTCTAAATTTCCCTAGCTGTTTAGGATGAGAACACTCCCTGTGTGTATGAGCCAAGGTTAAATGAGCACAGCTGGATTCTGGATTGGAAATGCACATTTGGTAGGTTACATGGACAAATCGTTCACACACAGAACAGGCTTGTTGGACTGAAATCTTGGAGCATACCTTGAACACACTACAGCACAGTAATGTTAAGCCAATGTGTAAAACAGAAATACCTGAGCACCTGTTAAAATGTCTTGGTATTTAAGGCAGTGTAATGCACTATCTATAGATGCATAAAGTTATTTGTATATGTAGCTATTTTGACTTAAATGTTCATACAAATGTTATTGATTCTTATAGAGAACTGAACTCCGTTTTGACTGATGTGGAGATTTTTCATAACTCCATAAATTGGGCTGCACATTTTTTGGTTGGTTTTTTTTTTCTCCTCGTTGGCTATGATTCTTCCATCCTCACATTTAGCTTTTCTGTCTAGCTGTGACTTGTTACCTGGGGATAGCATTATTGGGCCTATACCTTAGGCATTCAGATCTGGGTGTAAGCAGGATCACGTTTGGCTAGAGGGCACATAGAGGTTTCAAGAGTGGAATCCTGTGGATAAAAATGCTGGGGTTTCTGATGTGTGTCCAGGCCATGTGAAGGTTGGCTGTCCTGAAGGGATGGGATTGAATGGAGCTTCTTGAGATGGTGTGAATGGTGTCTGGCCCTGGGGATGGCGTGGTGTAGGGTGACAGACTTGACTACTACCTCTAGACTCTTCCTTTCCTCCTGGTGCCTGAGCGGTTTTGGGTCATATGTTGAATTGTTTCAGATCATGATGTGTAGTAAATCAGCCATCCCAAGCCACCCTGCCCCTGCTTGTGAATAAAAGCCTTCAAATTCCTACCTCAGGGACATCTTCTGTAGTCCTGTCGGCAGCTAACAAATCTTTGATTTAACAGAGAAGTGAAGTCAGCTTGAGGTTCTTTGGGGATGGTTTTATTTGCCTCTGGACCCAGTGCTAGTGTGAGGTTGGTAAATGAGCATTGAAGCCAATCCCACACCTTCCCCCTCAAATGCCAAGAGCAAATGTGGTTTTGAGGTTAAGGATTGCAATCCATGGATAGCTAATGGTCTACTTGAGCCTTCCCCTACAGCAAGCTCGCAGAGTACAAGATCTTACATCTCCTGATCTGCTTCATGGTACACAAATCAGCTGTTCAGCAGCTGGAAGCATCCTGAAGTTGGGAATTTGTCATAAGAGGCGCTAATCGTGGGCGTTCTAGGAAAAATAAGTAGGTGGCTATAAGATTCAGTTTGATCTTATGTGAACTCCATTTGCAAGTTGGATTTGGGCTGGTGTTTTTGGTGTTCTAGGTGGAACACAGGAAAGTTTATCCTAACCTTGTGGGTAGCCTGGACACCATACAAGGATTGTGAACCTTCTTCCATCTGTTTATTAGTCCACAATAAGGGATTTCAGAAGGGTGAAGGGGAGCAGTGACAATTGAGAAGGAAGGAGATTTTTAGAGGCTAGGGAAAGGATACTTCTATTTATTACTCTTATCCGTGCCATTCATTAACCTATCTGTAGCATGGTTAGATTTTAACAACCATTTCACGTCCTACAGGAGATGTTGCTTATTAGGGTTTGTATCTCCCTGTTCTGCCTAAGTGGCTCTAAGTATTAAGATGAAATTGAAATTGGTTTAATTAACAAAAAGGAAACATAATATTTTATTACTTTAGTGTTGCTCTATGAAAGATCCACACAGCCAGCAAATTGGCTATAAGCCACTTGGTAAACTTAACAAGTGTATGAAATGCAGTGTAATTAATGAAGCAAATAGCAAATTCTTGTATCTTGCACTTGCAGTCATCATAGGTGATGTGAAAACAGACTGGGTTTTTTTAATTGGTTAGGAAGTTGCCGGTGTCCTTTTAAATGTGCCGTGTTTTTTCAGAAAGATTTATTTTTCAGCCGTTACGTAGTTTATGATTTCAGAGTGAAATCTGGTTCCCTGAACTTAATGGGGACTTCACTGTTGGCCTGAAAGAAGGCACGTTTGTTTTTTTTTAAGAGATACAAAACAAAATTACACACATAATTAGTCATCGTTTTTCTGAAACAAAGGGAGTAACTTGTCTGTTGTTTGCTTAAGTCATCTTCTCAACAGTAATTATTTAGCAAGTTTCAATCAAAAATAATTAGTGCAGCATAAATAGTTTTGAAACTCATAGAACATGACTGCAAAAGTCCGGACCTTTTTTGCTGCAAAAGCTTGAAACCAGAAGCACTCCTGATGTGCCATTCTTTAGTAAATAAAACCCCTTGGGCTTGGAAGTGTAAGTTGCAGTCCCTGTAGAGGGACAAGAGCAAGGAGCGTCTGTCCTGTGGCCTGGTAAACCACTGGAATCACCTGCGGCAACTGGATGGTGTTTGGGGTGTGGTGGTAAATGCAGCTGCTGTTGTGGATTGAATTTTTCTAATGAATAGATGCAATTGAGCATATGATCAGTGACATTCCAGCAACCTGAATGGGCTGTACTGTACTTACTGTACTTCCTTGGAGCATAAACAGCCACAGACATTGTAGTTTAGAGTGGGCTGCAGCAGTTCTAGATGAACTGTGGAACGTTACATGCTTGTCAGTTTTGGTGGTTTTTTTTTTTTTTTTTTCCCTCAAGCAAACTTTCCTTTGAGCAATGGTGCCTTTTCTGGGTGAAGATTTCTAGACATGGCTTGTCTGAGCAGCTATTTTTAAGAAAAAAAAATCATGTTTTGAGATTCTTTATAGGCTGTGTACCTCCAGTGACTTGCTATCTGCTGTACAACTATGTGATGCAGGGAAGGTTTTATGCTTCCATTTATTCCAGAGGCATTTATAAATATATCCGCAGTGAAACATGTATACCTCATCTGTGCTAGTATCAGGACATTCTGAAGGGGAAAATCTGCCCATTAGACATTAATTGTGCTGTCTGTATGGAATGGTGTTTGTGGGTACTGTAATGTGTCTAAGAATATCAAGTTGACCATCTTGTCCTCTGTGTTACACTGAATTATGGGATTCAGTCCTTAGAGGTGGGACAGGATGGGGTTTTGTTTGGGTTTTTTTCCTTGTTCATTTATTTATTTATTTCCTCCTTCTTGCATTCCAGGATTCTTTTGATCTGTTCATCATGGGTTAATTGCATCCTTTTTATTAAACCCATTTAGCAAAGGTTCTACCCTGATTTGTGAGTCCTGCTTGAATCTGGGAAACTTTGAGAATGGGGAATACAGTATTTATGTCAATTTGAACAAATATTTGCACTTCTTTAAGTGAGGGAAATGATATTCTGCCAAATAGAGCTTGGGCTTTTTACATTTTGCATGTAGAACAAACATTCTGTTCTTCCTTTTCTATGTAGGGTTTTAGGTCATGCTTGTTCACCTGTGGTCCATGTGCCGTCGAGCACTGTGCTACTGAGCAGTGTGACTTTCCATCTTAACACTGGAGTGATGAGAAGAAGCAGATGAAATGCGGAGTTTTGTTTTGGCAACAGACTTGCTGAAGTTTTGCTGTAGTAAAATACCCGTTGTGATGTATTTGTTAAGAGGACAAGGCTAAAAAGACAACTTGCCTTCAAGGTGAAGGAAGGGCAACAAAGTTTGTAATAGCCCAGAGCAAACAGGGGAATCAATTTCAGAACATTGGCCTGTCCTGTAACAAGAGTTGT